GAAGGAAAGGGTCTGAAAGTGAACGCTGGAAAGTCCAAGGTCATGGTGTCTTCTGCAGATGCAGGTGAGACAGAGAAAACAGGAGAATACCCCTGTGGAGTTTGCTATACAGGTGTTGGAGCAAACTCAATCAGATGCACCAACTGCAGGAGCTGGGTCCATCGCAGATGCAGTGGAATCTCCGGTAGCCTGCAAGCAGCAAGTAAGACATTCATCTGCAAGAGATGCTTAGGTTTAATCTCACAGAAAGGTACCAGTGGGACTCTGACAGGTCTGGATCTCCATGGAGAGATGTATGAAAATGTGGAGAAGTTCTGCTACCTGGGAGACATGTTAGCTGCCAGAAGAGGCGAGACAGCAGCTGTGACTGCAAGGATCCAAAGTGCTTGGAAAAAGTTCCGCGAACTCTCTCCCTTCCTCACCTCAAGGGTGACCCCTCTAAGAGTGAAAGGGAAGGTGTATGATGCATGTGTAAGAAAATGCATGACATACGGGAGCGAAACATGGGCAATGAAATCGTCTGGTGTACAGCGCTTGGAAAAGGTTGAGATGAGGATGGTGAGGTGGATGTGCAGAACATCACTACATGAAAGAACGAGGAATGAAGTACTCCTTCAGTCAGTGGGCCTGATGGGGGTAGCAGAGGTTATGAGGATTAACAGGCTTAGATGGTATGGACATGTGGCTAGGAGAGAGGCAACACACTGGCTCCAGAGAGCTTTAAATTTTCGAGTCACCGGAAGAAGGCCTCGTGGGAGACCCAGAAAAACCTGGAGGGAAACTGTAGAAGAAGATGCCAAAACATCTGGTATCGCTCACATGGACCCCACAGACAGGAAAGCTTGGAGAGCAGCCATTAAGGCAATGAAATGTCCAACCCCACAAAGTGGGACAAATGGACTCTAAACGCTGATGATGATGATGATGATGAGAGGAGTCTCTCTCTACTTTGAAGTTTGAATTAAATAAATGGATTGACTCGGTTTATGTGACTTGCTTCCCTATTCTCTTTTCATTTTATCATTTTGTGTGGGTAACGTAGGTTAGAAAACCAGTATATATGTTACCACTTATCCTTAATGATTTGCAAAAACATTACACAATTACAAATTAACCAAGTGCACTTTACTCACCACCATCAATATATAGTCTCTGCTAGGCAGAGATTATCAACCACTCGTTTCCTCCATGAGTTACGTGGTGGGTCTTGCTCTTGCAAATATGCAAGACTCAGGTAGTGTATGTTCTACTGTCATGACTTGTTCCAGCTCCAGCTGATGAGCTTCCAAACCCAGCTTCTCACTGTAAATGTCTGTGTTTGGGCGCAGTTGTTGGTGGTGGAATGTCGAGGCACACATTGGTCTCGGGTCTGCCGAGAGCGGATTCAACATTTTGCCTTTTTTCATGTCGTTTCTTTGTCCTCGCAATCATTGCTTTGTTTGTAAATCGAGCATAACAATTCCTATGATATCCATGGGAGGTTGGTCGAGTTGTCCGTAGCAATATATCACGCACCCATGAAATCATGGGCGCAGCCGGCAGCCATCTTATATGTCTGAAGAAGGCGTCTCCCACATACTGCACTCTGATTGGCTCAAATCACATATACATCATTATACAAAGGTTCATGGGACGGATACGTCATACACGCGAAGCCGCTCTGAACGGTAAAAAGCGCCAAATTTGAATTGTGGTTTAGAGCTGCAGACACGAACATTTTGACTTATTATTCCATTATCTATCAAACACAATGAAGTTGGCTTATTTCTCAAGGATATGCCACAACGCTGAACGATAACAGGGGGACGTGCAAGGGCCTGTAAGTGTTTGTTTGGTTGGTTTAGTTAATTGCGATATGTGTGTTTACTATTAATGTTCATCACTGATACTCTCACATACTAGCCAGAACTCTGGCATTGCATTTATCTTGTCTACATAAGTTTTCTCGTCTTTTGTCTAATCTCCCTCCACATTTGTGCAATTCAGTGGTTTTAGATCCTGTTCAAGGTTTTCTTAGAACTCTTAAGAAACAGTGTGTTTTTCCCATCAATTATCTCCTAGTGGTGTTTTCGACTTGCATGTTTCCTCCAACCTTGGTCAACTCCTAATTTACACTCATTGTACAATTTCATGTCAATTCCATACATTTTCCATAATTGCCGTAATTCATAATAACAGGGTTTTTTTAATTTTTGTTTGTATTCTTGTTTTGTTTTGTATTGCTATCATTGTCTTAGATTGTCAGCTTTTTTTGTCCATTTTTATACTGTTTTTATCCTGTCTTTTTACATTTTCAGCTCTAATAATGTTTTCATGTACTGTATTTAAGTATTGTTTTGTATATATATATTTTGTTGGTTTTTATTTATTGCTTGTTTCGGTTGTTGTCTTGTGTCGTTGTGTGCAACCCTGTGTTGTCTTGTCTTATGGGGTCCAAACTCACCCAAGTGTGTGATTTACCTGTAATCGTGGAGCCCTGGCCATGATCAGATCCCTAACATCAACCCATGAAGATCTCGCAAGAGAAATGAACATTGTGATAAACCGACCCGAAAAGATCCCTTCCTGGCTTACACGTGGTGTGACAATCTTGCTATACAAGAAAGGTGTCACAACAGACCCAAACAAGTCAGGTGTGTTTACAAACACAATTGCCCCGCAATCGTGACTGTTCCCATGACATAACACCACTCTTTGAACATCAACTTACATGTATTTGAGTCACATGGAACGTTCATTGACATCATTAGTGTTTTCTGTAGGTTTTATACAAATTAATTCCTATGATCTCATAATAAATACAAGATTTCTATTGTTTTAGCCACTGTGACCCTGACCCTTGACCTTTCAGCCCCCAAGAACAATTCACAAACCAAATTTGAAGTTCACATGTAAAGTATTTCTCAAGTTATCGCGCTGACAAAATTTCTTTTGTTTTGGCCACTGTGACCTTGACCCTTGACCTTTCAGCCCCAAATGCAATAGGCTTCTTAGGATTACCAAGAACAATCCACAAACCAAATTTGAAGTTCATATGTTAAGTATTTCTCAAGTTATCGCGCTGACAAGATTTGTCAGGACACACACACCCACACACGTGTGTAAATGCCGGCAATCATGGACGCCCCATTGTCCCTAATCCTCTTTCCTTTGTTTGTAGCGACAGCTCTCATTGGTTTTGAACACGATTTGAGATCGTGGACGTTCAGTCAATCGTGGACGTATTGTTTGCGCCCCAATTCTTTTGTCCTACGTCCACGATTGCCGGTGTTGACATACTCACCCACACACCTGTGTAAACACCGGCAATCGTGGACCCCCTATTGCCCCTAATCCTCATTCCTTTGTTTGTACTTTAACTTTTTAGCAACAGCTCTCATTGGTTTTGTGCATGATTTGAGATCATGGACGTTCGGTCTATCGTGGACCCTTTGTTTGTGCCCTAACCCTTTTGTCCCTAGTCCACGATTGCTGGTGTTTACACACGCATACACTCTTGAATTACTATACTCCCGAGGACAGTACTTTGTGTTTCCCTTTGTTCCTTTAATATAACACTCTTCCATAGACTAAGCACACGAACCTACTACAGAGGACCGTTTTTGGTTTCACAGTGATAACTCATGGATGCCTATGTTCCCCAACCCTAACCCTGACCCTAACCCTAAACCTAACCCTGGGGATTTTGGGGAACATCGGGTATATCCCATGTCGGATGTGTGTAATGAACCTTGATACAATGTACATGTAGGTAGCTGAACCTTAGAGAAAATGAATGAGTTTGTTTTTGCATTTAATAAGGGATGTTGAACAATAGAGGACAATAGGGTCTCCAATTCCCAAGAGGGCCCTATTTGGATTCGTGTACAAAACATATGGGAGGTCTTCCTAAAAAAGTATAAACAGAAGTGGGACAATGTTTTCATTTGAAATGTTGCAATACCACATCCAATTTGGCCTTCGGGCCACGATTTTTGTGGCTTAATAAACCAATCATTCATTCCTAGTTTTCCCACCATATAACACGAACAAGACTTGTCATCATGTATCAACTTAAAAACTTGGTATTTTGGTTAGTCTGGGGATCTTCCAGAAACCTGTAATTTGTTTACCCCTTAGGCCCAAGGTCAAGTTTATTATGATTCAAACAACAACAAAAAGTTTTCTCAACATACACATGAACATGTATTACTAAAGCAACTTGAGACTTACCCTGTAGTATGTGTATGTACAGCTCCATTGGTTGTTCTTAGGATAGTCACTTTAGGACCCAGTAGGCCAAAATGTTCTCCTTATTAAAAACAAAATAAAAAAAAGAGATGATGTCATCATGAAAACTCAAGCTTATTCATATAACCATATTTTTTTCAGGTTTTGATTATTCCAAAATTCTTATTTCCATGTATGCCTTCTTCCAGGCAATATGCTCAAAGGATTCGCTTTTGAGAAATGTCTTGCTTAAGACTGAAAATATTAGGCAACTCCAAATCCAGTCATTTTGCTTAAAATTATGTACATGACTTCTCAACAGAAAAGCGACAACATTTTTTTTATTCTTGGGTCATAGGCATCAATACAGTACATATATAGTCTAAAGAAACAATGACAATGACAGGTAAGTAGGTATCATGTCCTGGGAATAGTCATGGTTGCGGGGCATTTGTGGGTTTTTTTAACACTACTTTTTCTTGTGGTTTGCCATCTTCCTTTGTTTCTTTGTTCTCTCATCCACCCTCCCCTGCATCTTTCCACACCTTTCCCACCTAATCCTCCTTTTGTGTTTCTTCTTTCAGCCCTGCATGTTTGTGTGCACCCCCATGTTAATGTATGTACCTCTGTCATTTCTGTTTTAGCCTCTGAAGAAGAACTTGCTAAGTTCGCAACGTCAGGCCACATTAATTTTAAGATTTATATATTTCAGGTCCATCCAGTCAGTAAGCAGTTTGCAGCAGTTTTACTTTTTTTCATGTTACTACTTTTTCTTGTTACTATTGTAACAGGTATTATCCAACAGCGGAAGATATGGAAACTTACAGGAAATTCAAAGACAGACAGGCAGAGCTTGAACATGCAGACCAATTCATGTTGCAGCTTTGTGAGATTCCCCATCTTAAAACAAGGTTGGATGTGTTGATGGTCATCAATGAACTCCCTGTTCAATATGAAGACCTTGCTCCGGTGCGTATCATTAATAAGAACTCTTTTAACAATTATTTTATTAACTATACCATTGAAGCAAATACTTAAGCTGCATTGATTGGGATGAGTTTAATATTCACATGTAATTATAGAAAGAAACCATTTCTTTCACAAGGTGGGTTTTACTGTCTTTTTGGCTTTTCCACATAGTTGCAGAAAAGCCTTTTTTTGTCTGATTTGTGTGTGCCCTGCTAGCAAAGCCGAAGAAGCTTGCTGTATCTGCCTTGTGCTTGCATATGCCAGGATGTATACATGCACGTGTGTACCACACTTTTGGTTTTACAGCAAAAACTCAAGTTGGATTTGATGTATGTCATGAAACATGAAAGGTATAGCTTGCTAGTGGTACCTTATAGAAGCTCAGTGAGTTTGTACCCCATAAGACAAAGACCAAGGCAATATGGTTAAAACGATAGAAAGGGTTTTCCCAACAAAACTTTAAAAAAAAAACTTTTTATTTCAACTTAAATCTAATTACCTGTAGGTGGGTTAGTCTAGGGATCCCCCTGATTTCTGTTACTTTTGGACCCCATAGGCCAAGGGCCAAGGTCATTGTGGTTAAAACGAAGCATTTCTCAAGAAAAAAAATGGCATATCGAATAGAAACTTAGTTGTTGTGTTATAGATAAATATTTTGGTGATGTCACAATGACGTCATCATGGCATTTATATAGATTGTTGAAGTTGCACAGTTTATCGCCACATCTTAGTAATACAACCAGCTAAATTTGCAATTCCTTTTGTAATAGGTTTGTTAGGTGATATATATTTGGACAAAAATGTGAGAAGTGTATGATGCAGTTGACATTTGTTTATGTCATTTCTTGAAGCAAGCACAATTTTCTTTTGGATGTTTGATGATTTAATTTCCACATTACTTGATTTGAGAAGTAATCTCTGAAAGTAAAACAAATTACTTGTTGATAGATTCCCAAAATTATTTTGAGTTTTCTTTGATTTTCTTTGATTGATCTGAAAGTTTACAAAAAGGTTTGCCATTTTTGTACAAAAGACTTGTGGCGACTTGAGTCTAAGTAAGGTGGAATTTTATTTAAGAAAGAAGAAGTTGGAGAAGGGGTAGATATGTCCTTTTGGATCCCTTTCGTCAAGTCATCTTCATTCTCATTGTTCAAGCATTGAGAGTAAAAGTCTTCATGTTTCATTTAGCATCAAGTCAACAAATCCCTCCCAACTATATCCGTCAAGTCAAGCCAAGTCAAGTCAAGTCTCCAAGTCACGTCAAGTCTCCAAGTCGCGTCAAGTCGCGTCAAGTCAAGTCAAGACAAGTCTGCAACTACTCATCAAGATAGGCCCCCTTAAGTCTTCCCTTTTATATTCACTGTATAGTTGTATTATTTTGTTTATTAATATGATATTAGAACCCTGGGTTTTCATTTTATAATATAGGTATTCTCTATGTGAGGATATTTATATTAGCATACAGCGTATGAAAATTTTTCTCAATTTAGCCAGAAACGAATAAAAGCCACTGGTTTATAGCAAAATATAAATAAAGCGTAACCGGTAAAAATCAATTGTGTCGGCTTGAACGCATTGACAAATCATGCCCGCTACACATGTTTTGAAAACGATGCATCAACCAAAATGCAGTGAAAGGATAATATCAATAAATGTGGCTGGCCAACGCTGTTTGTATCTTATCTACAGCTATTGTGAATTGTCGTGCCAGCTCTCCTGCGTCAGGCTGGTTTGGTTGGTAGCGTGCCGTCCCGATGGTATCCTATCCCTGCAGTGGTGGGCCACAGCACCAGGCTATCCCCGCTTCTCGGTTGACCGGATCAGCCAGTAGTAGTCAGGGCAGTGGAATGGGAGTGGGAACCGGGAATCGGAATGTGGAGTCGTAGGAAGTGGGTTGAGTCGGAATGTGGGTGGAGTAGGAATGGGGCGGAATAGGGGGAGTCGGAATGTGGGTGGAGAAGGAATGTGGCGGAATAGGCGGAGTCGGAATGTGGGCGGAGTCGGCGGAGTCGGAATGTGGGTGGAGCAACTAATCTTCCTTGGGACTTTGCCCTGGACTTGGTCCTAAGTAGACCCTATACCCTAAGACAGACTAGTAATTGGTGAACAGAAACAGTAATCAAGTACGGTGGTCATGCATCATCATCATCCGTCATGTCATTCCACTCAATCAAGAACCCTAGCAATTATTCTAATCATTGGAGAATCAAGCAATCAAGTGACTAAATCCTAGCCCTGCAACTCCTTTTGTAGACTTTGAGCCCCATAAGCTAGTGTGCAACTTCTCTTTGCCATACAACAGTGCATAAACTCAATTGACCAATCAGAAACAAGGATTCCTTATATGCAAAGTGTGGGTGATTCACAGTGTGCTAGTGTATTTAAAACATACAGTTGGTGACTTAATTCCTATTCCGTCACACTATCCTGTTACTTTGTATGGTCTGTCAATGGAAAGTGAACTGCGGTTGCCACCTCAACGGAACTCTGCAGAATGTTGCCCAGACAATCAGGCAGCAGGGGTGAGGAGTGTTCTATTGGGCCATGAAGCAATAAAAAAGGAAGGAGTTCGAATGGCCCGCCAAATCCCCTTAAGACATTAGCAGCCTCCGGATCATACTCGGCATAAAACGTCTTGACAAGGTTACTAATACCATGCTGTACAACATCAGCCAGCAACAACCATTAATACACGCCATCCAAAAACGACAACTCAGATGGGTTGGTCACATCCTACGGAAGCCTATAGGCAAGCCAGTTAACATCTATGCTCTATACTCCCCATCTCATGGCCAATGCAGAGGAGGTCGTCAGCGCCTACTCTACCCAGAGTACATTGCTAGACTATTGACACAGGATTTTCTGCTCTCCCCGCTAGAGATCCGGAGACTAGCACAAAACAGAGATGAATGGGGAAACCTTGTGTCCGTCTGCTGCGCAGTCGACTGATGATGATGATGATGTGACCATGCACAAACCCAGTGGAGGTTTTTCACAGCACGAGCAGATTTACAACTGCGAGAAGTGCCTTTGTGCACAGACTCCCATGCCGCACATCGCCTAACTGGAGTAATGAAATCTCCACAGCTACTTATTACTAGAGTAGCCATTGGTAAACAAACGAATGAAGACATGCGCAGTAGATTCCTAGCCATCTGTACCATGCGCCATCTTTATCGATGAATGTAACGAAAAATTCCAAGCTTGCCTGTCTTTTTTGCATCAAAATCTGGACCTTCCTTTGCCCAGATTCAGTTAGTTTTATATGAACGTGTAGACAGAGAAATGGATTTGTATGAAATGATATTTATATGAATAACAACAATTCCAAAAGGTTCAGGAAGACCAATCTTCGTCAGAGCATAAATGGAAGGTTTTTCTAACGATTTGCAAGTGGCATTAAAGTGTGCGGTAGCATACGGGAATGTTATGACGCGACAAAAATTGATCATTTTAAGAACTTGCAGGCATTTGTTTCTTACCTGCAGCAGTCATCCCCATGTTGAGTCATGTTCTTTGTAGCTTCTTTACGAAAGCCCATTAGTGCCCCAACAAAAATTGGGGGGGGGGGGAAGTTTGTTTGTTTTTTTGGGAAAGTTTTTTGGCGGCTGAGCTGCTTTTGCCTTGCCTAATGTGAAGTTGGAGTGTAGGCTACAGTTAAACGAAAGATTGAAAGATTGTTACTCCTTCAAATTCAGTTAAATATCTGGGCACATAACACTCGATCAGAGTCTAACTGGTGAGAACATTGCAAATTCTGTGATCAAAAAAGCCTGTGCTAGATTGCAATTTCTTTAAAGACATACTCACTGTTTGAATGAGAGATCCCGCAAAACACTCTGTTCTGCTCTCATACAATGTCATTTTGACTATTGTTGTTCATCCTGGTGTGGAGGGGGGGTGAGCTACGGCGGGAACAGTTGACGGGTAGTAAATGATGGTGATGAGGCTAGGACTACTACAGGAAGCAGGGGTGCTGATGGATTTGGGATGAGGAAGGAAGAGAGTCAGGAGGCGGTATAATTCTGAACTGTCCCTTTAATTTCCCTCCACTATGGGTTCTGAGTTGGCAGATTTTGTAGGACGCAACCATGCATGTGTCACAAGTCCCTTGGCGATTTTGACCGCGGACTCTGCTTTTCCGTTGGATTTGGAGTGGTAGGGGCTTGAGGTAGTGTGTTCAAAGTCCCAGTCATTCGCGAACTGAGTGAACTCGCATGACACGTAGTTTGGTCCGTTGTCTGTGATCAAGGTGTGAGGAATGCCGTGGGTGGCAAACACTGGCTTCAGTTCCTTGATTAGCGACTTGGAAGTCATGTCTTCCAGGGCGCGCACGTCGATGTAGTCTGAGTAGAGGTCTACTAGTACACAGTAGTTTTGTCCATTGACCTCAAAACAGTCACTCGCGACTAACTGCCACGGTGTTTTGGGTACTGGGTGCGTCATAAGGGGTTCCTTTGGGAGAGCTGGTTGTGACTCCTGGCAGATTGCGCAGCGTTGGACTGCCTCCACCAGTTCTGTGTGCATACGTGGCCAGTACATTATGTCTCGTGCAGTGTTGGTTGTGTACTGCACGCCCATGTGAGATGCATGTGCCCTTGCTGTCATGTCTGCATGGAGAGCTGTTGGGATTACAATACGCGTTCCGCGAAAGATGAGCCCGTTTTGTGTTGACAGCTCATCTCTGTATGGCCAGTATTCCCTGATACACAAGGGAACTTGAGCCTTGTCCCCTGGCCAGCCTGCTTGGATGACCTGCATCAGCGTTTGTAGGGTTTGGTCAGCGAGCGTTGCCTTTTTCACTCTCTGCAGACGCTCGTCTGTGACGAAGATGGTTGGTTCGATGTTCTCCAACTCCATGTTGAGCTTCTGCTCCTGAGTGACGGAGAAGATCAGATAGTCTGGTGTCTGATCTGTGACTTGTCGTGTTGGCAACGATGCTCGCGACAGTGTATCGCTCAAGTACATTCGCGAACCCTGCTTGTACTCTACGTGTAGTGAGTACTTCTGTAGGCGGAGTCGCATACGTTGCAGATGCTTGGGGCTCACCAAGATTGGCTTTCTGAAGATGTTCATCAGAGGTTTGTGGTCGGTGAGCACGAGCACTTTGTCGCGGCCTAGGATGTATTGCTCAAAGCGGTGTGTGGCAAATACGATTGCCAAACACTCTTTTTCTACTTAAGCATAGTTGCGTTCTGTGGCTGATAGTGCTTGTGAGGCGTACGCGACTGGGCTGCCATTTTGTGTGATGACGGCTCCTAGCCCAACCTCGGAGCTATCACACTCGATCGCGACGTCTTGGTTGACATCATAGTAGCTAAGTACTGGTGCTTTAGTGATGAGCTTCTTGATCTTGTCCAGGGCCTCGTCATGATGTGTCAACCAGTCAAATATGACGTCTTTGTCGGTGAGACGTCTGAGTGGCTCGCATACTGTGCTCAGTTCTGGCAAGAATTTAGCCAGATAGGTCACCACTCCGATGAGTCTCAGCACTCCCTGGACGTCTGTAGGGCGAGGCATGTCGAGTATGGCCTTGATTTTCTCCAGGTCTGGAGATAGTCCATCTGAGCTGAAGACGTGGCCCATGTATGTGACACTGGGTAGCTTGTACCGTAGCTTGGCTGCGTTCAGCTTCAGATTCCGCTCTCTGCATCTCGAGAGAAGAGCGGTGAATGTGGTGGCGTCGTGTGAGGCTTCTGCTTCAGCCTGCGTTTCTCCTGAGCCGTAGACTAGGATGTCATCTGCAATCACTGCGATGTTTTCCAGGCCTTCCAGGCACTCATGGAGCCTGCGCTGGAATTCTTCCGGTGCTGATGAGATACCAAAGGGCATCCTCAACCAGCGGTAACGCCCGTAAGGCGTCCAAAATGTTGTCAGATAACTGGAGGGCTCATCAAGGACGACTTGAAGAAAACCGTCCTTGGCATCTACCACCGAGAAGAGCTTGGCGTTCTTCAGTCTCGGGGCTACTTCGTCTACGGTGGGAATGGGGTAATGGTTGCGCTTGATGGCCTTGTTCAGGCCGTGTGGATCCAAGCATACCCTGATTTTGTTTGGCTTTCTGACGACTACCATGTTGTGGATCCACTTGGTAGGCTCAGTTACCCGGGCAATGGTGCCTTGGGCCGTCATGCTGTCTAGCTTTTGTTTCAGCTCTGCCCACACCGGGATGGGTACTCTGCGCCTGGTGTTCTGCGTTGGAGTGACACTGTGATCAATGTCTATGTGGTAGTGACCTGGTAGCCGACCAAGGCCAGTGAATACGTCTTTGTACTCACTGAGGACCTGTTCCTTGGTTTGAGTCGGTGACTCTGTCACTGCATGCACTAAGCACTCCTGTGCGAACTGCATTAGTCCCAGAGCTTCTGCTGCTTTACCTGACAGCAGAGATGAGGGGGCATCCTCCACGATCTCGAAGTGGATTTTCTTGGTGACCCCTTTGATCTGGCATCTCAAGCTGGCAGCTCCAACGGGATGAATGATTGTGCCATTGTACAGTTTCAGTTTAGTCTTTGATGGCACCGGAGGCGTGTCACTGAGCTGCTTGTAGTCTGCCAGCTTCATGGTGCTGCAAGTTGCACCAGAGTCTAGCTGAAATCTGATGGTCTTTGTCAGATCCCTTGTTGGCGTCTCCACTGCTAGCTCAACAAAGTATTGCTGCTTGGGCTTTGACTGCACTGTATAGATGCTTTCGTCGCTGCCGCTTTCGTCTCCATCCATTTTGTGGAGCTTCTGTGTAGATTTCTGTGGCTGTCATTTGGTACGGTCTGGCAAACCTGCGCATAGAGGTTGCGTTTTTGGCACTTAGAGCAAGTTGTCCCGTAGGCTGGGCACTTGCCTTTGCTGTGTGATTTGCCACAGTACTTGCAGTTCATGTTCGGAGGCTTGCTGGCTTTTCCAGATTTCTGTGTCCGCTGCTTGTTTTTCACAAAGTGTGCTGTCTCTGCCTCTACCGGATCCATCTGCTGAAGGTGGATCGCTGCCTGTTCACTGCTGCGGCATATGTCTATGGCTTTCTGCAATGTCAGTGACGACTCACGCAGCAGACGAGCACGGATGCTGTTGCCTACTACTCCTATGACCAGCCTGTCTCGGAGCATTTCATCGAGAAGCGCTCCATAATTGCATGTGGTTGCCAACTTTCTCAGCCTGTTCAAGAAAGTGTCAATGTTCTCTTTGGGCTCTTGCTTACAGGAGTTGAACATGAATCGTTCGTACACCACATTGCGTTTAGGGTCAAAATGAGCTCCAAGGCTGGTTAGGATTTGCTGTGGTGACTTTCTCTGTTCCTCTGTTAGTGGCAGATTTTCGTACACTTCATAGCACTCCTTCCCCATAATTGTGAGTAATGTAGCCACATGGATGGAAGTATCTTTCTTATCCAGTTCTGTGGCCACTAGATAGTTCTGCCAACTTGCCTTGAAAAATTGCCAGTTGGAAACCTGGTCTCCTTTCATGTCCATTTTCGCCAGTGGGGGAATGAGCGAGTGCGCCATGGTTAATATACAGTGCGTGCGTAATGTACACCGCGATGTGTCCGTTACAGGCCTCCGTAGTTTACAGCGAAACGCACGTTGACAACAATGGCATGAACTCAACGTGCAATGTATGCGTACAGTACATGTACAGTCTATCGTTCACAGTGTAAAACGCACGTGTTCAATGGCGGAAACTCCGCGTGAAAAATGCACAGTTTATTGTTCACAGCCGACACAGCCTACCGTGTGTGACAGGATCAATCTGTGCTGCCGACGGATCCCTTGTGGTCCGTTCTCCAAGATTGCCGAGGATTTGCCGGTTCTTTGCGGTAATGGTGCTGGATTCAGCTAATTTCTGACACCATGTTCTAAAGACGGCAGGACTCAAGTGTAGCATTCACTGAAAGACGTTTATTAACAGCCCGTAATAACATCATAGAATATGGATAAGGTGGCCGCGTAATGCCACTCCATAACAGGCGCTATTCAACATCTGCATGGGTGCAAATTTCACAGTTAGTTTTCACCAGAATAAGGCTTAATTTGTGGCAAAAACAACTACACTTGTACATGCACTTAAGCTAATAGTCACTCCTTATGTTTATCCAGAATATTACATCCAGGGGTAAAGATCAAGAGGAGATTTATGCCCCACGTTATCCAGCTTGGCACAACGCCCACAAGTATACATCGATAAACGAAGTCGCCATGTTTGCAAAATCAACATATCTTCGTTTCTTGAAATTAATTACTTTTACACAATGTCAATAACTCTACTTCTTTATATCCTAAACTCCAATGCTTATTAAATCAGACAAGCAATGTTAAAAGATACATCAATGGCAGAAAACACGATAAAAATGTACCTGAGTTGGCAGATTTTGTAGGACGCAGCCATGCGGTGACGGAAGATTTCGGGAATACCACCAACACATGGTGGCGCCCCACTCATCCACCGACCGCAGTTTCTCCGAGAGCCACACCACATTCCTCCAAAAGCCACAACGTCGTCGCCCCCGACGATGATCAGATGAAACATTCTCTAGCTTAGAATAACAGTTGACTGAAAAAACATCACTTGCTAATAACTTCCAACAGTAACAAATAGTTATTGAACAAGAAAACCATAACGTTCATGGAACAAGAAAGTTCAACTTGTGCAACTAATGTCACTTTTCCTTTAAAACAATTACTTAGGGATGTGCCACCAATTAGTAATACACAGGGATGGCAAATGGAATTGTCACTATTCAGAGTCAGATTCAGTGCCTGTGTTGCCTGATACAATGTTCTTAACTTGGGTCAAGAGTCTGATGACACTGGATTGGTACCTGACCGGAGGCTTGCCTTTTGTGGTCCGCTTGGAACGACACAGCAGGTGCCTTGTAGCGAGGTCTCCAGACTGACTCAGTTGGCAGCACGATGTCGATCGTCCTGGGTATGGTGTTAGGTTCTGGAACCTCCGGGTCCACTGGTGGCTCACGAGCATCTGGCGCTGCAGACGGGGGACATCCCATCTTGGGGGGCCTCTGGCTCACCATGAAGACCGTTGGACCCTGAAGGAGACTCCACCTGTCCAGTGGAGGAAGTAGACTCGACCTGTGCAGTCGAGGAAGTAGACTCGACTTGTGCAGTCGAGGAAGTAGACTCGACCTGTGCAGTCGAGGAAGAGTCATCCGGTAGGGTGCTCACACAAGCGTCCCCTTCAGGACCAGTCAGTAGTTGGGGTGAGGATTCATCAGGTGTGTGAACTGAATCACCTTCGGAGTGTATGGGCTTCCCTTGAAGTTTGTCCTGATCGTGCGCTGTCGTCTCCGTGAGGATTTGCGGCAGTTTCCGAGACGTGGCCGAAGCTCCTGGTCCAAAGGTCAAAACTGTGCCCCAAACGTGGTCATCAGACGTGGTTCGGTCCGTGGTAGAGGTGGGCGAATCCACTTCCGAGGATGAGAGGGAGTCACCTGAATTATGAGGAGGTGTCACTTCCCAAGGGCAGTGCTTGACTTCACAGCGATGAAGCACTTTCACAGCTCCCCCAGAATCACGAACTCTATAGACCGGTTGCTCGGGGTATGGTCTATCGACTACCATATAGGGGTTTGACTCCCAATAGTCTTGGATCTTCGCTCTGCCCCGGTGTTTCCTGTCACGAATCAGTACAAAGTCACCCCGGTTGATTGGTTTCTCGAAGATGTTGCTGTTGTGGCTGGCTTGTCGCTTGATTGTGTTGGCGTCAATATTGGCCGATGCAGTAGTGTGGGCCTGCTCCATCTGCTTACAGAGCTGCTGGATGTATTGGTGTGGAGTTTCCCCATGAAGTTGTGTGTGGGTAACTCCAAGCAGGAGGTGTTGTGGAAGCTGGAACCTTCTTCCCATCATCAGGTAGGCAGGCTCGTAGCCAGTGCTCGCGTGAACCGTGTTGTTATACAGGGTGACCAGATGTGGCAGACTTTCAGTCCATCTAGCCTTGCGATGTTCAGGGAGAGGGACGAGCAGGTTATGTAGTGTGCGGTTAAACCGCTCGCACTGTCCGTTACCTTGGGGTCTGTATGGTGTAGTGTGCGAGTGTCCGACACTGTAGATTTGGCAGAGTTCTTGCACGACTTTCGCCTCAAAATATCGTCCGTTGTCTGAATGTATACGAAGAGGTGCACCGAAGGGGAGGAAGACATGCTTGACAAGCATCTTGGCCACTGTAACCGCACGCTGGTCCCTAGTTGGGATGGCCCTGGCTAATTTGGTAAAAGCATCGGTGAGGACTAAAAGGTTTTCATAGCCATCACTCGAGGGCTCCAACACAGTGAAATCGATCGCCACCATCTCCATTGGCGCAGTAGCTCGGAGGGTACCCATCGGGGGCTTTGTATTTCTATTAGGTCGCTTCCCGACTGCAACGCTGGCACTGTTCGCACCATATTTTGACTCTGGCCTCCATACCCAACCAGAAGAAGAGAGGACGAATAAGTCGCAGGGTATGCTTAACACCAAAATGGCCCCCATCATCATGGAAGAGACGCAACACCGTGTCAACCAGCGCAGCCGGAACAACCAAGCAGTCTGCCTTCTTTCCACTGGGACTCATCCAACTGCGATACAAGACTCTGTCTACAAGGAACAGCTGCACTTGGTGTCGTAGAATTTTGGTTACCTCCTTCCCAGCATTTTCCCTTTCCTGACGAGGATTACCTTCTGTAAAACTCTAGTCTCACCCTGGAGCTTCTTTAACTCCCCGGGAGAGTAGCCAGGAAGAGTCGGAATACCTCCGTCAGCCACGGTCTGGATTTGTCGACAAAACACAGGAGGAAGTTCTGTATCCCCAGAGGTAACACCTGACACAGCTCCAGAAGACACCTCCACCTTCTCAGCCTTGCCGCTGGCACCAGGATGTCTCGACAGGGCATCTGCTGCACGGTTGCTCTTGCCAGACCGGTACTCCAATTGGAAATCAAAGGATGCCAGTTGTTGTACCCAGCGCAACTCAACTGAACTCAGGTTAGCAGTATCCAAATACCTCAGGGGGTTGTGGTCAGTGAGGATCACACACTGATTTCCAAGTAAGTAATCTCGAAAAGCCTGACATACAGCCCAACGGATGGCCAATAATTCGAGCTTGAAGGAGGAGTAATCCTTGTCCTGTTTTTCTACTCGACGTAGAGAGCGAGAAGCGTAGGCAATGACTGCTTTTGAACCATCTGGTTTCCTCTGTGAGAGCACTGCCCCTAGACCACCTGAGCTTGCATCTGTCTCCAGGACAAAGGGAAGAGCAAAATCCGCAAATCTAAGGACTGGTGCTTCAACCAATCTCTGCTTCAATGACCGAAACGCAGCCTTCGCTGATTCATCAAGTTCCACAGTCATTTTTCCGGACCTTTCCTTTTCCTTTGTTGGTATCCCCTGCAAGTACCTCAGAAGCGGCGAGGCTTCAGTGGCAAACTGTCTCACAAACTTCCTGAAATAGCTGGCAAAACCCAGAAACGAGCGTAGCTCAGTCACGGTTGTCGGTTCTGGCCAATCCTCAACTATCTTTATCTCTCTGGATCAGGCTTCACCCCCTCACCAGCAGTCACCAAGTGGCCAAGGTACCTGACCCGAGACTTAAAGAACTCACACTTCCGAGGTTTGAGCTTCAACCCATGTTGCCTGAGGCGGGAGAACACAAGCTCTAATCGCCGTAGATGCTCTTCGAAGGTCACCGAGTAGACAATGAGATCATCTAGATATATGAGTAAGCTCTCAAATGCCCGGTCGCCGAAACACCGTTGCATGATCCGTTGGAACGTGGCCGGACTGTTACAAAGACCAAAAGGAAGCCGAGTAAATTCCCACAAGCCAAACGGTGTAACGAATGCAGACTTCTCTTTGTCTTCTTCCGCCATGGCGACTGATAATACCCAGACGTAAGGTCTAGCACACTAAAGTATCGAGCTTCACCCAAAGCCTGTAGGGACTCATCTATGCGCGGTAATGGAAATGACGACTTTGCAGTGACCGCATTTAGTTTTCGGTAGTCCACGCACATCCTGATGGATTTATCCTTCTTTCTCACCACCACTATGGGTTAGGCCCATGGACTGCTGCTTTCCCTTATCACCTTGGCATCAAGCAACTCCTGGATATGCTGACGGACTTCCTTATACTGGGAGGGAGGCAAAGACCGATACCGCTGCCGAATGGGGGCAGTGTTACCAGTGTCGATTGTGTGTTGTACTACGTCGCAGAATCCCAAGTTCATGTCATGCTTCGAGAAGACATCATCATACTTCTGCAGCAGGTTATCAAGCTTTTCTCTTTCTTCGTCTGACAGCTTTTTCCCAACCTTCACACCCTGAGTGGCAGATGGGTCATCTTCAAGTGAAGCTGCTGTCACAGCCGCAGAAGAAAGAACCCCGGTTGCACCTCTCTCATTGAGTACCTTAGTCAGGTCTTGGCAGCATGGCTCTACATCGTCAATTGGATACAGCGTACCCAAGCATCCATGCGGCGGAAGCTGAATCTCATGCTCTGTCTCATTGGTTATGACC